TGCGGGCGGGGTTATGACAGAGAATAGGGAAGGCTTAATTAAGTGGGGAAAGAGTAGCACTCCTTACAAATGGCAGTCCCTACTTACACAAAACTAGTTCTTCCAAAATCTATTTAAAGCTGCATGTAGTGCTCTTCTTTCAATTATGTAAGCACACAGTTGAGTGCAGGGGAGGTAGTTTAAATTTAGGTTGTTAGTTCCCACAAGTGTTAGATAAATTTAGTCTATATAAGGGTTAACATAGTAAATAACAGGATACCAGGCCAGTAATTAGCTTCACATAAAAGTTTCTGGAGCATATTTGTAGCAATTGATGGGGAGGCAACTGCATTTACAACTGCATCCTGGGTGGCACTAGGAAAAGCAAAAGTGGTGAATGGTTTTTAGCCTCAATGTGTCTGGGTTGTTGGATAGTGCTAATATTCTTTCAATCTTCCAGAAGATGCCAGGAAAAGTGATACATATTGCATTATTTCAGATTGAATCTTGGGAGGATATTCTCCTCCACCCAGCATGCATTCCATGGTCACTAGGACTCCAATTGAATGCAATTGAGTCTGCATAATTGTACGACTGTTAGCATATAAAGGACATTGCAGGAGAAAATGCTCAATCGATTCATCTCTCCCATATGAACAATGAGCTGTATTGGTTAAGTTAAACCTATACAGGTGCTTCCTTAGACCAACATGTCCCAACCTAAATTTTGCAAAAGCAGTTTCCATGATTCTCCCCTTAAATGATGACCATGGCCAATATCCCACTTTATCCCTTATCTGCATTAGATGTTGACCAGTGTTAGTAATAGCCACCTTTTGTTGCCAGTCTTCCTCCCACCGTCGCATGACTTCCATTCTTATCTCGCCCACCTTATCCTCTCTGCACATGATAGCCTCAGCTGATACTACGGGCAGTGCATGGGCAGCTTCAGCTGCAAGGTCTGCCATCTCATTTCCCTTGATGTTCTTGTGGCCTGGGATGAACTGGACCACCACTAGAAAACGAGTGCGAAGCCCTAATAACATCCGATGAATTTTAAAGACCAAGGGTAAATGTGATGTTGGTCGTCGGGATGTTAACATGTTCAGACTTGACAATGAATATGTGTAGACCACAGCTCCACTGCCACCCACAGTACCATCCCTTATCATTTGCACAGCCTGAGCAATGGCAAACAGCTCACAGCTCAAAATTGATTCCTGAGGGTTTAATTTCCAATTATACATTTTTACCGACCTTTCCTCCTGAATCACTACTGAAGCAGTTGATGAGGGTTCTGGATCAAAAATTCATGAACCATCAGTATATACTTCGTGATATCCATTGTACACTGTACTTTGTAGGTCTCTGAATATGGTGACAGCATCTGTCTCTGACAACTTTCCAATAGTCTGTCTGGCAAAAAAAGGAGAGAAATGTACTGAAAAATCAATTCATGGTGGTATTGGAGATAGCAGATCTGCTTCATAGCCAACAAATGTCAAATTAAGGTCTGCTAGAGTCTCTCTTGCCCGGAATACAAAATGAGGAGCAAAGATTGTTCCAGCCCATGGCCTGTCTGCCAATCCTGCTACATCAAAAAGATTATTGTAGACTGGTGAGCAACGAGGGAGCTCCCCCAGGCGACATAGGTACCTCAGTCGCACAAGCTGGCGGTAGTACCTCAGCAGAGGGATGTTGCTCTCAACCTCCAGTGAAACTATAGGAGATGTTTGGATGAGGCACCCGCCCTCATCCAAAGGAGGAGGTAGAAAATTTTTCTACCTCCTCCTCAAAAGGCATGCTTGGTGGAACCTCTGGAAGAGACATCTGCCACCTGCTCCACGATCCCTTGTGAAAAAGCCAGCGCTGCCTGGACTTGAAGACGGCCTTGCTGGGGAATACGTTCACAGATAGCAACACTGGCTCATGGTCACTGCCCATTTCAGGTTCTAGAGATATTTGGGAGAGAGGCACCAAACAAAACATAGATCTAATGTGGAAAAAGATCCTGTTTGGGCATTAAAATAGGTGGGGAGAGACACTGGTGTAAGGAGACTCAAGTCAAGGAAATCTTCTAGGCTTTCTACCAAATTGAGGCCAGCAGTATTGCAGTTACCTTGACCTTCCCACATTGTATGGTGTGCATTAAAGTCGCCCACAATCACTCGTGGGCCAGAAAGCTGGTTAAAATAATGTGAGTACTCAGCCACTTGAATAGGGGAGTTTGGATTGTATACATTTGTTATACTTATTGTCTTGCAGTTACAGAAAACTATCATGGATTGAATTTCTAGTGATCCAGCTGGAAAGCTATTAAGAGGGTTAGGAGCACAGTTCACATCATTTCGTACCAGAATAGCTTGCCTCCACCAGGTCGATTTTGTCGGTGTTGAAAATATTCAGAGTCTTTTATGAAGGTAGGTTCTCGATTCTGTTTTAACCATGTTTCTGTGAGGCATACCACATGGGGCTTGGCTGCATACAGTCTAACTTTGAAGAGGGATAATTTTGTGTACAGGCTGCGACAGTTCCAGAAAAGAATACGAAGTTGTTCCATTTTCAAGAGTGCTGTACCAAAGAGTCCTGACCTTTTTGTTTTTTCATCCTAGGATTTGAGGATAGCACAGCTGGCTTTGTTAATGGAGTCCCCCTTGGCTGGCCAATTCTTCCACTTAAACTGGGTTCGGATTGGCCCTTCTTGGTAATGGTACCCTTAGGCTCCTTTAGAGCTCTCCCAGATATGCCAGTTGTTCCATGGGTTCATTAGTGTTTTGGGCTTGTAAAGGTTTGGTGTGATTGGTTCTGCCCAAAATGGGAGAGGGAACAATATTATTGCTGAGTTTTCATCACTGTGGTCATAAATTGTCTTTCTGCTCATTAACATTTCTTCATTTGTCTGAACAGGGAGAACTGTTGAGCTCATTAGTTTCTTAGATATTGAAGAGACCAATGTCTGATTCACATTGATGGGTTTATTTGTTACTTGTGCTGCCTGCATCATCTCCATTACAACCATTGCGATAAGGGTAATGTCTGCTGTGCTGAGTTGAGGAGACTGGGTTGGTTGAGCCACCGTCTGACATGTTGCCTCTATAAAGTCTCTGAGTTCCCACACTTGCTCTTGGTGGTTGTGATAATTGAGCATCTGCACCATTCCTTGGGGAAAGGTTCAATCATTCATTGGATAGGGGGCCCTGGACATTGCCTCCGGAACAGGCCGGGGTTTATGTAATTCCCTTTGAGAGCCCCTGACCACCCTTAGAACATCCCGATATGAAAGTTTTTGTTCTGTCCTCACTTTTTCTACCGATTTGGCTTCTTTCATTTTAGTACATCCTCCATAGCTTGCAGTGTGGTTCCCATTGCAGTTGCCACATTTGGGGTTTTCAGTGTTTCTGTTTGGGCAATCCTGGGATCTGTGGGCACCTGAGCAAATCACACACTTAGTCTTGCCAGTGCAGTGCACAGCATTGTGCCCAAAGTTCTGGCAATTGTAACATTGCTATGCGCGATCTATAAAGAGCCGCACTGGATAACGTTGGTACCCAATGCATACATGTTCAGGCAACAGTTTACCTGAAAACGTCAGCTGCATACACTGAGTAGGGACCTGATTTTTATCTTTCATGATTCGCCTGACTGAGAGAACATTGGAGTGATGTTTTTTAAGTTCTTCAAAAACTTCATCTGCCATGGTCTCCATACCAACTGGGCCAATAACTCCATGAGTCAGCGATTGCATTTGTGGTAGCCGGCATCTCACAGCTCTATTCCCAATAGATGTAACTGACAGAAGATTTGAAAATTGTTCATCATTTACCTGCTTGTGCTTTTACTTTGTCCAACTGAATTGAGCTGATCAGGCACTGCTTGTTCATGGTCTACTTGAAATCCACACAAGGTGTTATTGCTCCTCTTCTGGCTTGACTGTCCTTGGTCATCTTAGCTTTACGTTTGCGAGCTTGAGGGCCTCTTAGACTCGAGACAGGAGTCAGCATGTCTAATTATCATCCGCACGAGATAAAATGCACCAAACAATTGAAAGTCTAACACCAGAGCGTCGGGGGTAGTGGAGGATAGTGGGTAACCCCACCTTTGAACAGGGAGTATAATGGGGGTTGTTTATCTGTCTTGCCTCGAAAGCGTGGGTTTTAAAACCATGCGTATACATGTAATTTGTGCGTGTTGTCGCAACAAGTCAACAACAATGCACGCTTGTTGCTAGAATGCGACGCACATAGGTAGACATAGAAGTAACACAAGCGTGTTCAAGATAACGCAACACGCATTGTAAATATTTGCACATCGCAAGCGTGTTAACAGAGAAGCAATGTTCGCGTTAAATCGCGCATTGAAGAAAACGCTGTTCAAGCGCTGCTGAAAACGCGTGTTGGCGAGCTTTATAGTAGCAACCCTATTGACATAAAAGTAACACAAGCGTGTTGAAGATAACGCAATTCCCACGTGTTTTTCTATGCACACGCAAAGCACGCGTATTGAATCTCGCTCAACTCTCGCATGAGCAACACGCACTCGATGCAAGCGTGTTGAAGATAACGCAACACTCGTGTGTTGAGAAGTTCGTACCCATGCACAATGCACATGCAGCGCCACAACTAAAGGCAGTTGCTTGTCACGCTCGCGCTAAGAACTCAGGCCAGCTACTGAGCAGGGTAAGCCAATGGTGGCCTGACCAGCCGCTGATTTTGTGTGTCATTTCACCCTTATACTTTTTACCATGGAACTCCCCAAAATAGCTCTTATTAGGCGGCTGAGTAGGGAAGGCTGCCATCCATTTCACACGTGATTCATCTCTAAAGCGAGAGTGGTAACCGAAAGGCGACCTTCAGCTGTTTTTGAATTTTGACAGGGTATTTATTTAGGTTGATTAATTTGTCTCCTTAGCGATTAACTGAACTCTGATTTTAATTTCCGTTCATAGCTGTTGAATAGTTCGTATTATATTCCAAGGTGTACCGCCGCTGAAAAGCTGCACTTCGCCCTTCGTGCAACACCCGTTCGGCTGCATGTACTTCTACCTGACAGCATCGCTGACGCTCTGCCAAGCGAGGGCTTACTGCCAGTCCCTTGGGGCGCAGGTGGCTTCACCCACCACACATGACAACTACCTCGCCCTGATGGCCTACCTTAATTCAAGTAAAAAATTAACACTTCTGAGGCAGTATATTAAAAAATAATTACTGTTTTTAATCCCATCAGCTAATTACTGATGGATTTTAAAGCTAAATTCACCAATCACAGACGAGGAATAGGCCGCTACATATGATTAGGCCGCTAGGTGTGAAGTACTGTCCGATTTTTGAGAGTACGATCCCAGCTTAATAAATGAAAGCTTACTTGTCCCATAATAAGAAAAGAAGATGTATGTTTGATGTTTCACGCATGTGGGTTTAATTAAAAGTATTATAACATTCATATAAAAATGCGAAAATTTGCAAATAATTAACCCCACCCCACCCCAAAAAATGGCGCAAAGTTCGTTTCAAGGGCACAAACGCGGGGACATTTTTTAGCTCGCAATGCTGCTAGAAGGATGTCATGGATATCAAAATTAAATTTAAATGCCAATGAAATTTTAATTTTATGTTCAACAGATTTGTATGGTTTATTTCCAGTAGATAAGAAAAATATTCAACACGTTTTAATTGTTAGTTTTACAAGAGTGTTAAAACTTGTACATTTTTGAACTCATACTATAAAACATTTTTCCCATTCATCTCTGTTTGTGTTGAATCGAAGTGCAGTCTTTCATGTTTGCCTAAATTATGGACGCGTAATTGCTTTTATTTTGAGATAGAGGGCCTGCAAATTATAAACATGATTATGTAAAAATGTTTTAAATTTTGATATTTCATGAAATCTAGGAGTAATTTTTGACAACTTGATCAACGGGGAGAGACGATAAAAATCTGTGTTGGAAATTTAAATTCTGGATATCGAATTCTCTAAAAATTTACAACCCAGGCATCACTGCACAGAAAATCATATAATGGGCAAAATACGTGTATATAACGAAACAGTTTAGCTACCAGATAGAGGGCTATTCATAAGACAGTTTCCAATGGGTCAAAAGTCATGCGACGGAGGTTGTAAATAACCTATAATTCTTTTACGCAATTTTCTTTAACATTTGAACAATATATTTATTTCGTCTATTTATGACATTTTATTCTTCAACATCAGAGTCGTACTGGGATCCCATCTGGGCCGGTGTTTACAACATCAACGGAACCTATAGCTATGAATCGAACGGTCGCTGGCCTGGGCCTGACCAGCAGTACGAGTGGGGCCCGAACCAGCCCAACCGCGGTTTAGAGACATGCACCATTTTCCGCCGTGTGCCTTCTAACTATAGTTTGGCCGACGACTTCTGCTGGAGGAATTCCGCCGTCATCTGCCATGCGTGGAACCTTGAGCTGTAGGTAATCTGCCATGCCTGGAACCTTGAGATTTAGGTAATCTGCTATGCATGGAACCTTGAGATGTAAGTAACCTGTCATGCATGGAACCTTGAGATGTAGGTAATCTGCTATGCATGGAACCTTGAGCTGTAGGTAATCTGCCATGCATGGAACCTTGAGATGTAGGAAATCTGCCATGCATGGAACCTTGAGCTGTAGGTAATCTGTCACGCATAGAACCTTGAGCTGTAGGTAATCTGTCACGCTTGGAACCTTGAGCTGTACGTAATCTTTCACGCATGGAACCTTGAGCTGTAGGTAATCAGTCACGTTTGGAACCTTGAGCTGTAGGTAATCTTTCACGCATGGAACCTTGAGCTGTAGGTAATCTGTCACGCTTAGAACCTTGAGCTGGAGGTAATTGACACGCTTGGAACCTTGAGATGTAGGTAATCTGCCGGGCATGGAACCTTGAGATGTAGGTAATAGGTCGTGGCTGGAGATCTAGGTCCTCTGTAATGCCTGACATCTGAAGATCTAGATCGCTTGTCATGCCTGGACTCTAGAAATGTGTTGCAAATCATCTATTTGTTTTCATAAAAGCCATCGACTCGAATTATGTGCATTGCTTGATACGTACAAGATTAAAACCTCATCTATTTTTTTGCATTGAGAAAAAGAGAACCTGTGTTGTTCGCGCTGGTCTTAAAGAGGGCGGGTGCCTCTCCAGATCCTTCGAAACTCCGTCCAGCAATCATGGACATGCCGTGTTCAAAATAACGGTAAAAACGGTCTGACCGGCGTTCTAGTGGCTGGATAAACCATAAAAACCAGTTTCGCCGTTTTTATAAATGGGGTACTACTTTCTCGCGTTGAATTAAAAATAAATAAATAAAACGACGCCATGGTATTTCATTTCACGCGCCGGCCGGCCACTGAAACTCCGGTAAAACTGTTTTACGGCATTTTTTCGATGAGTGTGGTTTCTGTTTCATATATCTAATTCATACGCTAGATCACCACAATGATTTTTCTCTGAACCTATTAAATGAACTAGTATCGTCATTAGTTATGCTTTTAAATGATTCATTTTATGTTAAACGTTCATGTCTACATATTGCTTACCTGCGACGCTATAGTATCGATATCGTTCACCTTCATGACGTTCCAGTTAAAATTATGTCCATTTCCACAAAGTTCTTCTCAAATATTGTTCATCTTCGCGACATTCTGTCATTATATTGTTAATCTTTATGATATCTTAGACATAATGTTGTTCATCTCTACGGCGTTCTACTCAAATATTGTTCACCTTCACCTTATAAATAAAGAAGCACCTGTTATGTAAATTATTTACGAATAATTTTGAATACACGATTTTCTTCGTTCACTCTTATTAAAATCGGTTTCCCTGAAACAAACAACATATAGGGGTAAAAATTAGTAACATAAAATTAGTATTGCACATTAGTTCTAAACGAGAAGTAAGTCGTTAATTCACAACTCTAAAGAAGTCAAATGAACATTAAGAGTTAAAGCACGCACCAAATATTTCCTTCTCTTCACTCGAGAGCCCCAAACTAAAAGTTAAGATCTAACATAATCGACGATGTTTACTCTGTGCATAACACGCGTGCCCCAGGCCAACTGGATATATTAGAAGTGTATTTGAGAAGAACTTCAAGAGCACCTGTGCGTAATATTTCAGATCAAGTTAATCATTTATACCCTTATTATTTGAATTAATTATTTATTTAAAATTATCTTATTAGATCTCTTTTAAACGCTCCTTGAAACATTCTTCTTTCATAATTTCCATATAAGTTATTGCTGCATGCTTCCTTTTCACTTATTAGAAATGATAAAAAATGCGTTTATTTCGCGACATGATTAATATACATGGAATAACTTTTATTATTGATCATCGTGATATTATTAATGATTTTTATTTCAATATTTATCATCGTAATCAATGCCTTGAGGTTCAACTCGTCGCCACGACGATGAAATATCAGCACTTCAAGTGGCATTTCATCAGTCATGCAAGGCTAGTTAAAGTATTGAGTCTTGTTGACAAACTCTTTATTACACGCCTGAGTAGCATGAGTGAAACTCTTTATTACACGCCTGAGTAGCAAGAGTGAAACTCTTTATTACACGCCTGAGTGGCATGAGTGAAACTCTTTATTACACGCCTGAGTAGCATGAGTGAAACTCTTTATTACACGCCTGAGTGGCATGAGTGAAACTCTTTATTACACGCCTGAGTGGCATGAGTGAAACTCTTTATTACACGCCTGAGATGCTTGAGTAAAACTTTAATATAATTTGCGCGCACGAAACGATACAAAAAATAAAAGTCAGCGTGAACTTTCAATGGTTAAGGCAATAGTTAGATTTGTTCCGGATAACCAATCATAGAGCCACTGCTACTGCGGTATCATTAAAAGCATATTAATCATTATTTATTAGCATTAGACGACAGAATTTGCTCGTTGATTCAAGTGCGAATAAAATTGCAAGAGAATTCATTGCTGTTAATGTTCAGAGAGTCAAACAATTGTTCAGATGGCGTGACAGATCAAAAGGCAGGTCCAGGGAAGTAGTTTTAATTTATTAACGACGTTTCCAATGCAGCAACATTATTTTCAAGTCATAAGAAGCTCTGAATATCAAACTATCGTCATTTGCTGCGGGCGCTACAGGACTCAAATGGCGTTCATGTTTTTGTGTAATTATTATAGACCCAATATTATAATTTTGCATTTGGAATAGTAAAAATTCAAATGAGCTGAACTTGGGTAGGCTTGTAAAAACCGGTAATTTGTCGTACAAAATGCGTCTAAAACGAGACGTATTTTAAGTTTCTCATTTCCTGCTATTGATCAACCTTGAAATATTTTCAGTCTAACTTCGTGATTTTTTATCACGCTATTTAATTAAGAATAGAAACGTACTGCGAGCTCCCTGCAACTTTGCTGTTAGAAATTCCCAAATTACTTGAATTTTATTTCTTATTCTTCTTAGTTATCGCTAAGCAGCCGCCAGTAAAATGTTCGGTGGTTTTTAGGATTTTATGGTGAAATCGGTATTGGTATTGTTGTTCGGCAGTCGTGTTATTTGGAAGCCATTTTCCTGATCTTTATTACTTTCTTTGAGTCATCACTCATAGCTTTAGTTATGTTTATTTAGGTTCAAAAAACTTATTCATTCTTACTTTAATTAGGAAGCAGAATCTCAATTGTTCTTGGGCTTTGCCTTTTGCATGTTTCGCTCACCTTTGTCTCTAGCTTTTGACTTGCGTTGACTACTCAAATAAATGTTCCTTTCCTGATAAGAAGAACATAGTTCATCTCTTTAATTAATTTTACTTAGTATACAAGTATACTCATGGTTCACTGAAATACGAATTTGCGTTCATCTAACTTATAGCAATATTCCTTGTTATCTCATCTTAAAGCTGTTAGCTTTCATAATCTTCAACTTAATATGCTCTGGCGCGAATCAACTGTAACTTTTGGCACGTTGTAACGACTATTCAACTAATTTTCTGCAACTTAACTTTTTTGATGGGTGTTTTTTATTAATTAATTACATGTCTCAATTGTCCATTCATGAAATCTCTGTTTGCGATGTGATTTATATATGATATTTGCCACTGCTTCATGCCTCATAGTTTAATTGTCCACAGTTTTTCAGGCCGTTATATACAACCGTTCTGGTACCAATTATTTCAGGCCGTTATATACAACCGTTCAGATACCAATTATTTCAGGCCGTTATATACAACCGTTCTCTTATACACATCTAGATGTGTATAAGAGACAGACATAGAAGTAACACAAGCGTGTTCAAGATAACGCAACACGCATTGTAAATATTTGCACATCGCAAGCGTGTTAACAGAGAAGCAATGTTCGCGTTAAATCGCGCATTGAAGAAAACGCTGTTCAAGCGCTGCTGAAAACGCGTGTTGGCGAGCTTTATAGTAGCAACCCTATTGACATAAAAGTAACACAAGCGTNAGCCTCGCTTATAAACAGAACGAAATGTGATGAACAAGTTTTTTTACGCCGCATCAATCCATGGGACGTCGTGGTCAGTAAATTGTGGCAAACTACAGACGAAACATAAAGATTGGCTCTATATGCATAAATCTGTATGGCAGTTCAACTAAAATTATAAATTTTCCGGTGTGATTACCAATTTTCGTCGTGAAACATGGTGGCAGAGGCGTTCTCGAAATCACGGATAACTGTTGGACGTGGAGGCCCCGTTATTAACTTTTCAACATAAAACAATTTTTGGCCCCGTTATGAACTTTTCAACGCACCATTATTTTCAATGTGCAGTGTTCCATTATTTGTTCGCAATGTGTTTTCATTATTTTCAATGTTCAATGTTTAACTTTCTTCACATTCAAGTACATGGCTAGATGCATGAAATAAAATTTTGTAAGGAATTTTTCAATTCGCTACATAATAAGGTAAAGCAAAGATTTATAATAAGAGAACCATCAAATTTTATTCGGAGAGGTTCAAGGTTGGATCTCCTTAATTGGGTCTTCATCCACGGGAAGCGCCGGTAGTTTTGGTGGTAATCAAGTATTCATCCAAAGAAGAAGGTAAGTAGGAAGACCAGGCTCCAGAATTTAGTTCAACTGGACATCAGAATTGGGAGTCTTCAGAATGAATAAAACCAGGTAAGGGCGGGGTCGGTGCAGGCGTCACAGGAACGGAGAAGTTTATACTGATAAAGAAATTAAACAAGTTATAACACGAGTAGATATGGTACACAAATAGTGACAAGCGCAATGATTAAGGCAGTATACATCATAATATTCAAATGAGAGTAATGGCACACACCTAAATCTATTCGGGATTCAGTGTTGAACCGTAGTTACAACTGCTAGGCTTAATCAAGGAATGAAACCCTAACGAAAGAGGAGTGTAAAGTTGGAGGAAGGCTCACCAGAAAGGACAGGCAGGACAGTAGGAGGTTCAAATGCACGGGAAAAAGTTAAAGGAGGAATGAAACCCTAAACCTCCATCTACCTATACTAGACCCTAAGCAAATGACCATAGTTAATTTATCCACCTTTAACGTCCCAAATGGAGGTTATCCCAAAACGTAAATTATGGTGAGCCTAAGATAAATCCTACCTAGATAATACACGAGTAATAAATAGTTAAGTAAATCCTGCTAGAAACCACATTCACACAAAATTATAAGACCGTAGAATAAAGGTCTCAGCAAGGATTAGGAGCCTGTGGACGCTGAAGATGCGTAGTCCAATACTCAGGTCGCAGGTAAGATTAGACATAATGCTCAGTCGGCTGCCGGAACGAATCTGAGCTAATTTGAAGGTGAGCTACCTCGTCACCTGGGCAACAAATGAAGGCAGCAATGCATTCGAAAGTGGTAATTTCTTACAATTTAACCCACGCCTAGCATAAGATTCTCATCTGGTCTTATACGACTTACATAAGATAACTTAATGAAGAATGAAGATTATTCAAAGATGGCAACAGTAGTTATTTAGGTGGCCTATGTTTACAAGGAGAACAAACGACATTATGACGAGTCTTAAGAAGCCTACTCGGTGATGCAGGCTAATAAACAGAAGTTAAAAGCTAAAGTAAAATATTTTGATTTATCTCGGTTCATTTTATAGAAGGAAATTAAATAATTTCATCAGCCCTTTCTATCGATTAGGTCGAACTGACTTA